TTAGATCTAGAAACAAATCGCTGTGTATTTGAATGTGATCTGGAGTAGTTATTTCGACTATTTGGTCTATTGTAGTGATTTTGTGATGAATTATGCGTGTTTCTTCGTTCTGGTGATCTTCCTCTATAACTTGAGTTATATGGTGATTGATTTCTTGTATAATTTGTATTGTTCGGGAGTGGTTTTCCTGAACTGTTGTTGCTGTAGACTGTTTTGTTCGGTAGATTTTGATCTTTTTTCATGTATTGATAGAATGATTTATTTGGTTCTTTATATTTTTGAGGTTTATTTTGATTGTCTTGCTGTTTTTGTCTACATTCAGAAATACTATGTCCGTATCGTCGGCAATAATTACACCATTTTTTGAAAGATGGTTTGCCTTTAAAGTTTGGGTGTTTTTCGTAAATATTGAGTATTTCAGTGATTTTTTCAACGAGATCTGTATCTGATTCCTGTATATTGTTTATATTTGTGGAAGCTGTTTCAATTCTGTTAACGTATTGTAATTTCAGATTTTCCGTTTCTTCGAGTTTCATTGTGATTTCTGCTTGTTCTAGTTTGTCTACTAGTTTTCGAAAATCTAAATCGGGTTCTCGAATTGACGAAGGATGGGATGCTCTCTTTTTTATTGCTATTTTCCTTAATTGTGGTGTTAAGGTCATCATTAAGATTTCTGTCATCTTTGTGTTTTTATAGTCATGTGTATTTAATGAATATGCTTTTCGAACTAGTGTTTCGATTCGTACTGCTAATTGCTTGATGGTTTCGTTTGGTAATCTGCGAATTTCATTACATAAAACTCTTTGTTGTTGTTTGTTTCTTTCGGAGTCAAACATTTTTGAAAATTCTTGTGTAAATCTTTTCCAATTTGATTTTATTTCTATAGGCAATACTGAAAACCATTTTTGGGCTGCGCCATCTAGAGTTGTTTGTATTAACGCTGTGCGTCGATGTATCCAGTTTTGATGTAGTGGCGTATTAATTGGTTCAGGTCCTATATTTAAAATCAAATTTGCTGTGACTGCATTTAAATAGTCTTCTACAGAATATTCAGGGTCTGTTCCTGTGAATACCATTAAAGGTTTATTTGATGTTATTGATGATCCACCCATAAGGTATGGATTCATCGTCATTTGTAATGATTCTGCTGCATTTGGCATTTGAGAAAAATTTGAAAGTTGATTTCTTGTTATTTCGTGTTGTTGAAGATAATATGGGAGTGGTATTTCATTTTGCATTTGTGCTGGTTGGTACGAGTTTGCAATCATTGGGTTTTGTAGCTGAATTGGTTGAAAAGATTTATTAATTGGGTTTTTGTTGTTGAATTGGTTGTTGAATTTGTGTATCTATTGGTTGTGGAGAAAAAATTCTATGATATGTATGTGGTTTCTGTATTCCTTGTCCACGATATTCTTGATTATAGGGTGTAAATATATCTGGTTGTAAGAAATCATCATCTGAGGATAAGTAATCCATTTGATAAGATGTTTGTTTTTTATTTTTATTTTGTTGAAAAAATGGGTAGTTTTCACTACGATCCTGTGGAGGATGTAAATTTGTTTGGAAATTTACTGAACTAGGTGGTGCCATTGGGTTATCCCAGTTTCGAGATCTTGTATAATTACTAAAATTTTTTCGTGGTTGATAATTTGTTTTTGATGGATGTGTGTAATTATAATTATGGTCTGCAAAGTTGTTTCTAGTGAACGTTTTGCGTGTTTTTGGCGGTATTGTCATGGGTCTGTATGTTTGGTAATCCATGTGTGAATATTTTGGAGCAACCGAAGGTTTAACGGTTGATTGTAATGTTACCTGTGTTTGTGAAGAATTTGTATTTCTTGGTGTTGTTAAGTTTGGACGTATTGGTGAAATACTTTGTTGTGTAGTTGTTGTGTGTACGATTTCTTCGTTTATGAAGTGTGATGGTGTCTGGATATCTTGTTGAGTAAGATTCCTAGTTCCATTGAGGTTTTCATTGTGTATGACTGTAGAGTTTAAACTATTATTTTGCATATCGGGTAAAAATGTATTATAGTTTAATGGTGTTGCATCAATGGTTAATGGTATTACTCGTACATAATCTCTTACATAAGATATCGTACTTATTGCTTGACTTGAGATTGATTGTGGGAAGTTTATGAATGCGGGATGAGACCATTCGGGGTCCCAAACATAGTCTGATTGTTCTGTGATGGCAGTATCATCGTTTGAGTTTTGGGGTCTAAAATTTTTTCTTGCTTGTGAAATTAAATCAATATTATGTGTGAAATAATCTATTATGAACCATGCCAAGATTTTTTGTAAGTCGTGTTTTGTATGTTGTGAAACTTCATCTTTCGTGAAATTTTCTTTAATTATATTTAGAAAACTAGAGAGTAGTGTGATTTCATGTCGTACTCTTATATGTTTTGATGTTTCTGTCGGTGAGACATTTGGTATCTGGATTTCGTTTTCTAATATCGAGATATAACTATATATTATCGCAAAAACTTCATTGGTGAATATGGAGTTTGCTCTTTGTGAGCTATGATATTGGATGCTTTTTATATATTCTGAGAATACTTTTGAGAATTCTAAATCAAGGTCGTCTGTTTGAATTATATATTTACTGTGATTCTGGTTTGGTGAGCTGAATTCTATGGAGTAGATTCCGTATTGTTGTGTTAGGTTACATATATCTTTTAGATAGTGATCGATAATTTGTCTTTTGATTTTTACATCTGGGAACTCTGTTTTACATGGACTGATTCCGGGTTCAAACAAATTTAAGAGTAAATTTTTGCAGAATATATGCTGTCCTCTATCAGTGGTTGCATCTACGATAAAGGGGAAAATATCATCATCATCTGGACTTTCTTCACCTGGGGTGTGCGTTGAGCTCATTTTTTCGTTCGATGACTGTTAATATGTAATTATCAATGTGTCTAATTGGTTGATTCCAATTGTATAAATGTACTGGTTTGTGTTTATACTGCTTTTTTATTCTTCTTTTTCCTCTTTTTGATGAATTTGAAGTTGTTTCTGAGTCAGAGAAATATAATTGATCGTGAATTGGGCAATTTTTATCTATTGATTCTTTTAGTTTATAAAGTTCGTCTAAACTGTTGGTTTATGATTCTGAAAATGCGTTTCGATTTTTTGAAAATCTTTTTCGTGTTATTTGTCTTTGTTTAGTTATTATTTTTCTCTTTAATGTTTGTCGTTTTGTTCTAATGTATCCAACTGTTTGTGTATGAGGTGTGATTACAAGGTCGTATTTTTTGTTATTTATTTCACAATTGTGTAAAACGATTGTTTGTTTATTTCCTAGGTTTTTAAATGACATAAGGTTTAGGATGACGGATGCAAAAGGTTGTTAAATGATTTCTATTTGCTTAAACTGTTAGTCCTTACGATTTTTTTGTTAGCCTAACCTGGGTCTATTTGAACAGGGTTGGGGAGAAAAGTATATCGATTCCGAAGAATGATTTTATACTTTCTCGTGGCTAGTATAAGCTAAGGTGTTAACTTACTAAATCTTACTTAAGGGTAGTGATTGTGTTCAGGGTTGGAGAATAGTAAATCGATCCACAGGGTTCAGGTATAATTAGAACGCGAGTAGTTCGTTAGATACTATTTTAAACTTACTAAGTCTAAGATTTATCCTGGGTCTGGTAAGAGGGGGGATCAAGTGAAGGATGAATAACCGAAGTTCTTCACTGTTTATCCTAATTTGAATGATTAGTTTTGTTCAAAAATTTCTATTAGTCCTGGGTTTTTAGAAAGGGTTGGATAGTGAATCGACGTTTGAGGTCGTTAGACACTCGTTTAGTGGGTGGGGGAGAACAAAGTTGTTCTTTTTGATCCAAGGATAGGCCTTGATGATCAAGTTTTAAATTTAACTAAATAGAAAATGATTTAAGATCCAAGGATAAGCCTTGATGATCTGATTTTAAAATTAAATGAATTTAAGTTTAAAATGTTTTAAATTTGTGTAAAGAATAGATTTAGTATTTTTATGATATTAGTGAGCTTATGATTGCTGTTATGTTTAGGCGATGAAGCTGGAACAACAGGATGATTTATAATTACTAATCATTTATTGTCATGCTACTAATTTTTATTTTGATTTTTCAATAAATATTTTTCAAACATGTTTTGTATATTACTGCAGAATTTTGGAAAACGATCTGAGATCTTTTTATCAATCGTTATTGTATATTAATAATTTTGTTTAGCGCCTGAAATGATTTTGAAGATTGACTTCAAAATTTTCTTATTGCAAATGAAAATCTAAATTCATTGCTAGTAGTATTCTAAATACAAAAGTTTGTTCTGGCTTTTGCCGAACTATCATATAACTATATGGTAAGTTTCTGCTTTGTCGTATGTCGTCTCTGGTTCGAGGTCTTCTTCCAATTCCGGGTAGTTCTGTTATCGTTCGGAATATTGGCTCTGATCTATTGAGTCGTAGAGACATTTCGATTAAATTATTGTCGTATAACATTTTGTAAATGTTTTGTCTAAATTCTAATCTATTATTGGTTAATGCTATGCTATTAAGGTCTTGTTCGAGACTTATGGTCGCACCAGATGAGTTATTTTCGATGGGTATAACTCATAGAGTAATTTCGGATAGGGTACACCGTCTGCTCGTCACGCTATCTTATTTTCGGCCGGATAGATTCGTGCAACTTCTTAGTCTAATACCGATCCTAATCTTACTCTTATACTATCTAGTCTCAGGTTGTTTAACTAGTCTCTGCTAGGCTCAATAGATCTAGGGTATACTGGTTTATTGCGGCTGCTGAAGTACTCGGGAGAGTTCAACTAATTTCTAAGTTAAATTCAAATCTCTCTGGTGCTGAAATTACAAGTAATTTCAGCACTTACAAATAAGTGGATTGTTAGTTAGATGGATCATGATTGGTTAATATTAAATACTTTACATTGGTAAAATATCTAATTTATCCAATCATAAAATGTAGTTTAGATCAGGTTCCAATTTTTTGTATGCACAGGTTGGTTTATCATCGACTTGATCTCTTCGATGCCGATGGACTACCTGTTCCTGATCATGAGTCACGGCAAGAGTGGCAGTCCCTCCATCCTCAATGCCTCCCGGACCCTGAAGATGCTGAGACTCACGAAGTTTCTCAGCCTCATGCGTCTGCTGAGGGTCTCACGACTCATGCGATACGCCAACCAGTGGCAGGAGGTCAGTTTAACGAGTCAATTTATCGAAATATTTTTGAGTAATACGGTCACAGAGAAAGTTACATTAGGTCCCGACATACCAAAAACTGCTCTAATCTTATTCAGATCAGAGCAATTTAAGTATTTATATGTTGGATCTGACCAGGGGGGTGGGAGGGGGTGGGTGGGTTTACATTGAGATCCTTATGTCTTAAGATAGACTATAGCTTTCCGGCCTCCAGGCTCTCTTTTACCTATCTTAATAACTAGGAAAAGATATTCTCTTTCCATACTTTCCATAATACATAACCTTGCGACCGCAGAAATATAGCACATCTTAATTAATGGAGGTATTTCAGCAATAGTGGTTCAACCAAACGTTCGTTCGAGGAACAATCTTCGAAGGCTCTCGCGAATACGCGGTCCTACTTGACCTGCGTGTTTACACCAGTTTTTTACACCAATTTACGAAAACTCACTACTTTGCCTAAGCAAGTTTTCGATTACCTGTCTGAGCAAAGACATTGTTAGCAAGAAAAGAGCAACACTTGCTAGAGATCGTGTGAACATGCAAATTATTTTGAATGAAAGTTAGAAAAGTTTCATGAAACTGATTTTCAATTGTTTTTCAAGAAAAGTGAAAACCTCAATGAAATACCGAATACCGAAAAATTCTAAGAATCGGAAAAGTAAGACCGAAGTTTTCAAAAAATATATATATATTTTTAATGAGTTAGGTTTTAGGAGTTATGATTTACAATTATAACACACTGGAGTCCTTTTGAGCTCTTGTTCAGTTTAAAAAAAGCGGTTAAAACCCCCTCCTCCATACATCCATTTTTAACTTTTTTTGTAACGGTATTGAAACAAAAACTTCCACATGGGATAGTTGAAACAAAAACTTCCACATGGGATAGTTGAAAACACATAGATTAATCATTTAACTACTAGAGGCTCCAGATACATGCAATTTTATATATGCAAATTACGCCCAAGCGATATTGAAACAAAAACATCCACATGGGATAGTTGAAAACACATAGATTAGTCATTTAACTACTAGAAGCTCCAGATACATGCAATATTATATATGCAAATTACGCCCAAAAAGTTCAACAACAGTCATTCATGCAAATTTTGCAAAGCAGAAACAGAAGTTTTATGGTATTTTATAGGTTAGAAGGACCTATGGGTTGAATAAAAATTTCAAATAAAAATTACTGAACAACTGAATAGCTCAAAATAGCTATTGCAGTCTCTATACTTGCTTTTTCTGATACCTTGTAAATCTCTAATTATTCAGTCAGCGCGAGGTGTGTTAAACACAAAAATTTGTGCAAATAGTTCTGCGTATTTTATGGTTCGTTTTGAAAAATATTATAAGTTCTGATAAGAAACAATCAGCTATTTTATCAATAGCAATTTTTTATTAAAAAATCAAGAATGAACAAAAAGCCGCTAAGATTTTTTCAACTATTTTATATTTTAAATTCTGTGATATAACAGAACCACTTGCCAAAGAACACAACTTTAGCATAGCAAAATAGCCGACAGCAAATGTGAAAAAAAACCGTTCAGTTGGAAAAATTTTGAGAGAAAAAAAACGAACAAAACTTCACAATTTTCATTTGAGTGTGTCATTTTGTATGAATTATTTTAGAGGAAAAAACACAATTGGAGTCAAACGCCAGTTGTGAAGTGAAATAAGAGGCAACACGAGCGCAATATGTATATTTTGTGAATTATAAGCGGATTCCGCAACAAGGACAACCTCTTTGTTCTTTTTTGTGTTTTCGTTTTCTTTGATTGTTCCGACAAAATTTTTACATGATTAAAGGCTTGTCTCTGGAATCCAGAGACCTACAAACAACTAAATTGTGCGCCTATCCAGTGCACAGTTTGGCATCGTAACACTGGCTGACCTTCATAGACCAAAAATGCTAGTCATACAATTCCATATATAAAGTCTATGGAAAATACTAGCCATACAAGTTTCATACTTTTTGCAAAAATGGTGTCATAAAATTTTCGAAGCATTTTTGGTTTTTGAAGAAAATTTGGTGTATCCTACTAAATCAAATAAAAACTTGTTGTCAAAAAAACGCTAATCATACATTTTCCATATATGGATTTTTTTGACTAGCTTTTTTTTGATGACAACAAAAACTTTTCAATCTAATTTTGAAATTGCCCCAATTTTTTTTTGTTTTTTTTGCAACCGCAAACCGAATTTGGTACTCAAACAAACGCTTTTCAAAAAAAATTTTCTTGTAAAATTTAAGTTTTTGTGTGCATAACGTAGTCCTGGATCCACTAAAATTTCCACTTTGCTTATTAACTTTTTTCAAAGCCGTTTCTTCAGGCCGTTTCTAATGCATTTTTCATGCAAGACGGCCAACATTTTGGTTACTCTACTTTGAGTAACCAAGGTTTTTGTCACTTGTGTTCGACAGAAACACAACCAAAAAAATTTGAAATAAATAAAATGCAAAAAATCAATATTTTTGGTAAATGGAAAAATGCTAGTCATTCAATTTCCCAATATAAAAAATCACTACTCATAGACTAATAATTGCTTGTTCTCATGGAATTGCATGAAAGGTCTACGAGTAGCATTTTTCCGTAAATGAAAATTAAAATATTAGCTTTTTTGGTCAAACCGGGAAGGTGGCAGCGAATTAAATTTTGCTTACGCTGTGCTAACTAAGCAGACAAAAACTGGCCAGACTTCAGTTGAGTTAAAAAAACTTGTTATCATACAAAAAAATTTGAAGAAATGGCGAGGGAAAAGAAAATCAATTTCTTTTGGCGAGGAGTTTCGAATGGCGAGGAGTTTCGAAAATTAATTAACGAAAGATATGTTGGAGTAAAGTTAACGGAAAAAATAATTAGTGCCTTTTCTACTCGAGCAAGTTGATTTGATTGGTTTTCTTCACTATAAATGAACTATAAAGCCATGATTATTGAGGAGAAAAATTTGAATTTTTTCGATATCACTCAGTTTTTGATTTTTTAGTTATTGTTAATTGTTTTTTCCGACCACTGAAAGTGGGGAACTTTGTTTTCGGTGTGTTGTCTTTGTTTTTTGCGCAATATTAGTTTCCACAGATATAGCTGTCGGAATGAGTTGCGTGATTATATATATAATTGTTAGTTTTTATTTAGTTTGTGGCCGAAACTTTTTGTGTTGTTTTGTGTTGTTTGTGTTGTTGTTGGGCATAATTGACAAAAACTCATTCCGAAAGCCAATCGGCTATCCTTTCAAATATTTGAATCTTTACAATGTTTTCATGTACTGATTGTGCGTATAAAAACGACCTACTAAATTTCTTGAGCTGTGTTATCGGCGCATAAGTCAAATTCGTACAAACGGGTCAAAAATTACCGTGAGATTAAGAACCCACTAGACACTATTTAACCTAGCTGACATCTCTCCAGAATCAATTTTCTCAACCAACTTTTTTAAACGTTACACGTTGATGAACTGGTAGTTTTTTCAATTACAATTTTTTCATTAGTTAAGCGTCTAGTTGGAATTAATTATAGTCAGACAAAACAATCGGTACCCAAATTAAAACGAAAACTTTAAGCTTCCCCATTAATCATTTTCAAGCTCCACGTCCGCCGTCCGTAATGGCAGATTTAGGAGTGAGGCAATTTTTCAATCGGCATCATAGAATAAAAAGCCAATAGCCTCCCGTACGGTTTTTTGATGAACGCTCTTAAAAATCCTCTATCAGACCTACCAAAAAATTGCGTTTTTTTATTAACTTTACGCATTTTTTTCAAGTTATTACACTGTTAAAAGTTTCATTCACTAAACTAAACAAAATTAAGATAAAAGAATACGAATTAAAATTGTTTTTATGTGTTCTATAAAAAGCGAACAATGAAACAGTGATAGATTCACTCTGAAGGAGTGTGCACGTTCAAGGTCAGACATAATCAAACACTTAGGTAATTAGAATTATATGAAAAAATCACATCACTTCCCTCACTTGGGAAAATTTAGAATAACTAACTTATTATTGTTAACTAAAAATCTCTTTTCGTCTGGTGACCGGAATAGTAACATTTGAAAATCACAACGAATTTTTGCTGCGGAAGTGTATTTAAAAAATCATATATGCAAAAATTGGAATAGCATATCCTACGAATTGTATGAGTAAAATCATGAGATTTCGATAAAGTGAGCTAATTTTCCACTGTATTAAATTAAACTATCCGCAAGCTAGTGTATGATGAAAAAAAAGAAGGATGATTAAATTTTTTTTTGATAGAGTCATCGTACGGAAGTAAATTTGAATGCGAATCAAAAATAACGAGTTTTATCTGACTGGGCTACTCAAAGATCTAATTGAAAAGTGTTAAGCCATTGTAGTAAATCGAAATAATAAAATGAAACACGGGAGAATTTAAAGTTTTACGCGAGCTTTCAGATAATTCGGGTTTGGTCGTCCTTCTCCTTTTCTTTGTTGAATTCATTCATTTAGATAATCAAATTTCTCTAATAGCTTCGATATTTTGTTGCTTTCAACGTCCAGTCTGAGTTCCCGCGGAATAAGAAGTTCCTCCACCTCTGAGACTGAGCGTAGCAATTTTTTGTTAGATCCTCCGTAGGAATAATTTGTGGCCTTGAATTTGATTATGCACTTTCTGAAATAACTCGACGGGGGTTGCAGTTTGAAGAGTCAGTAGTTGTTTTAATCAATTCCACCATTAGGGTTTGTTGAGTCAGGGTAAGAGGCGTTGATTATGTCAAGTAATTTCCAGTTTCACTTAGGTCTACTAGCACTGGGTTTGTATGCGATCCCCGAGGTCCAGAAGAATCTACGAGGTCTACAAAGAACCCATTACCAAAAAAACTTAGGAGCATGACACTCCTACGAGAACAAGTGGTATTAAAAAAGCAGTTGGATTATCAGTGTCCCGTTTCATAAACTGGGAAGTCTAACGAGCTGTCTCTGGTCAGGTCAATTTAGGTAGGCAAAGGTCTGAACCAGACCAGAACCCAAATCAGAC